CAGCTTAACGACTGTTAATCGTTTTAAAATCATAAAGTCTGGGCACTAAATATCTCAAATTACTTTTTGGGGTTTGTCAACTGTCTTAATCGCAAAGACATTATCATTAGCTTTGGGAAGCACTACACTCTATCAGGTGAGTCAATGTTCTTTTTTCGCATTATGTTTTTTTAGATGTCTCGCCCACTGACCATTTTCCGGAACTGAGAAAAATGCTCTAAAACCTGTTCAGTTTGGGACATATGTTCCGGCAATTTATTATCCAGTGTGGTCTTTTCCTTTTTAATGGTCGCCAGAAGAGGTCTTCCTAAATAAAAGTGTCCATCTGCGGCCTTGGTGAAAGCGGGCTTGGGCTCAGGAAAGTCTTTAGTCATTAGGGATTCCAAACGCGTTTCAGGTATTATGCGGACGCAAATCCGTAAATACTCCGTGCAGCAAGCAGATGTAGATAGACTTGATTTTCCATTCTTCCCTAGGGAAGGGGAGAGACGAGGGCAAGCCGTGGTTTAGAAGGGACAGAATTAGCTGTGCAACCTATGGCAAAATGACCTCACCCCTGTGCTTAAATGGATTGATTAATTGCGTTGTTTACGCGCTTGACTGGTGCAAGAGAAACGAACTGATGCTAAGTAGGTCACAAGCTTGATTGTCCAAACAGACCTGAGGACATATTATGCCTCACAAAGCTCGCAACAGAACAGGGCAGCAGTATGACAACGGACGAGGCGACAACAGAAAATCAGGAGGCAGAGCAAGCCACGGTATGCCGGGAATTCTGGGATAGCTACTTCCGCGTACAAATTGTGCAGACTTGCAATTTCACTACTAAGGGAGACTTGCCTCCGGTGCATAGGACAAAGTTCTGGTCACCAATTCCTCTCTCCTTCCTGGCAGCCATTTCCAACCTCGTGACGTTTATTCTTCTCATTCAAGTTTGGCGGATTCTAACCCATTCTCGAGGTTCAGCGAGTGGTCAACGAATTGCCCCGCATCACGTGCTGTTTGCCTTGGTATCTCGATGGGAACGACGTCCAAAAACGATGCACATCGGCCTTATTGTGTTCTGTTTCTTTGAAACAATCTGTCACGTGGGGATTACTGCTGGACAGGGTCTGCACCTCTATATATGGGACCAGCTCACGTGCCATCCATTCCCAGCACCAGTTAATGGTACGTTTACACCAACACTTACTATTCTGCCAGTCTTGGGTAGTTTTCTTAACTGGCTGCGAGACGGCGGCATTTGTAGTCGCAACTGGACTATTACAATCATCACGCTGACTAGGGCTGAAATTGTTATCTGGCCCCTAGCCACTCGCACCTACCAGCGTTGTCTTCGCAGGCGTCGGATGTTTTTCGGCTTGTTGACACTGTTCATTCTGCTGTCCTTTCTACTTGGTGGGATTCGCAGGATGGACCGTGAGATGATGGTATGTTACAGCAAACAGTTTCGATCATACTGCACATGGGACCGTCCATACTTGGAGAATTTAAACTTTCAAACTGTCTACTTCAGCTTTCAGATAATCATACCCTGGCTGCTCATCCTCCTTGCTACAATCGTAATTGTGGTCCATTTGAAATCTGCAGGGAATCCTTTAGCAAGACGTAGCAGCCATCAAGCTTGTTCATCTCCACGAAGGACTGCTTTTCAGCGTGCTTCCTATTCTGTCTTCCTGCTGGCCCTCCTATTCACCATCTGCGAATTTCCCACGTTTGCAATGTTCACCTACTACATCCTGGGGGACCCAAATGCTGACATGTTTGTGTGGGACACAACTGCGCTCATATTCCTTCAAATTGATTCCCTATCGAACTTTTTTCTCCTTGTTCTAACAATGCCAACACTTAGACGCCTTTTGCAATGCAAAACGTGCGTTTTTCCATGTAAATTACTGTCAGCGAGAGGCTAACAGTTATATTTTTGACTCAACAAACTGTGTTGAAGAAGCATCACATTTGACAGCTCTCTGTTAGATATTAATCAATGTACTCTGTTAGTAGAGTATGTCCATAAATGCGCATTATATGAGTCAGGTATTACCAAAAGCTTAAATGTGGCTATTTGTTTTTGTTTGGGAAACTATGATATGACCCTGTAAACGAGCCACACAACTTGTGCGTTGGACTAACATGGGAGTCAGATCAGGGTGGTGTGTGGGTGTCCACTGTAGCAGTCGCCAGCACCCTGTAGTGCCCAAGACCTTCTTGAGTTTGCTATAACAATAAGCCCAGAAGAATATAGTAATGTAGATGCTCTGCCAGGCCATTATCTCTATTAACTAAATCACACGCCAGTCAGAGCCCCTGTCGGAGCCACCATGTCATGAAACCCATGGCAGTCGTCGTGTGTGTGTGTGTGGGTGTGTGTGTGTGTCGTAGCCCATAGTTGGATCAGGAATCCCCGTCGGAGT